ATTTGCAAATTTAGTATTTTTAATTAGTTTCATTCGAATAAAATATGATTGACTGGCTTAAAATTTATAAATTACTTTATTATATATATATTTAAATTTATATTACTTTATTTGGTTTGATAAAAATATTAATGTATAATACAACCCCTTATTTTCAATGTATACTTTACAATACATTAATTTTTTTTTTAAACATGGAATGCATATTTTTTTTTTTTAGCAACATAAATTTGATTTTAAGCATTTTAAAATGATTTTAAAGAATAACATTATTATTTTTTTTGTTATTTTCATATTTGAAAAAATTAAAATTTGCCTAATTATATTTTTTTTTTTACAATACATTCTATTTTTTTAATAATACATTTAATAATACATTTAATAATAAATTATAAATATAAAAGTCCTATATTTTTATTTTATAACTTTTTGAAAAGTTTTTTTCTTTTTTTTTTTTCTTCTTCTCAAATTCATGTAAATCACAGAAATTTCTATTTTAATTTATATTTATAATTTACGAGAGAAATTTATTAAAAATTTTTGGTTACGCACAAAGTTATGAACAATAATTTTTATTATGGGTAACAATTTACAAATTATTTATTATTAAAAATAATCATCCAGTGATTAGTTAATTTTTTTTTTTTTTTTTTTAAAGCAAATCTAGATGAGGCATAATGCAATTTTTTTATTATTATTATTATAATTTACTATATCTTCTTGCATAATATCCAAATCAATATAAACTAATATGAAAAATTGATATTTTTAAATAATTTAACAAAAAAAAGTTCCAGAGGCGTTTAACTAAAATTTCGTATTTAAATACCCAAAATTATTTATTATGTCGCATAAAAAATCTAACGTTTTTTTTTTTTTTTTTTTATTTAAATTATTTAATAAACAAAAATATACTGTAAAAAAAATGATACTTTTGAGTTAAAGATTTTACTAATACTAAAAATGTTAAAAAAAAAAAAAAAAAAATTAATCTTTCTTTTTCTGGATGCTATTTTTTTCGGACGAACTAACTTCTCCATTTTCAATTTTAGGTACCTGCTTAGTACTTTCTTCCATATCAGCAGAAAAACCGAATTCATTTACTCTACTAGGATCTGTTTTATATATAAACTTTTGATATAAAAAAATAAAAAAAATAATATCTGAAAAAAAAAAAAAATTTATCAACATAATTATTAAAGATGCTTTTAAAATTTTAATTACATTAAATAACCATACATGTATATATGTATATAAATTAAAATTTTAACTCACCGTCTCTAAAACACCCTAACCGATACATAGTAGGCATTTTGATAACAAAAGCGAACATATCATCAATAAATGTGTTTAGTGCTTTATAAGTCATCATTCTCCACGGCAAATGAGCTACGGATTTTAATTTGTAGTTAATAAAAAGTTGTGGAGTCATCATGATAAACCCTGAAAATAAATAAAGGTTAAGAAATACATTTTTTACCATTTTTAAATATAATAATCTCCAAGAGAAAAAAAAAAAAGAAAAAATAATAACCAAAAGTTAATAAAAATCCATAAAGCATCGACAAAATCCACGAATACCATCCTTTGTGTTCTTGATATATTAACGAATAAATTCCATAGCAAATTAGTAGCGGATAAATAGCTCTTGACAAATATTTAAATGCTAATATATCGTATTCCCTAGTGCTTGATTCAATATAAGACCCTTTGTCTTTGAAATTTATTGTTGGAAAAATTCCGAATAATTTTAATTCTTTATTTATACTAATATCTATAGCCTGAAATTATTTTTTATTAATATAATATCCAATGTTTCATTTAATAAATGATTTATTTTATAATCTTTTATGATATCTATCATTTAGTAATATGATTTCAAGTTCAATCATACTTACTTTATTTATTTTCCACACTTCTATTGCTAAACCAACAAAACAACTAATTCTAACTATTGTATTCGTATCATTATCCAAAACATAAAGCAGTACAATGAGTGAGTGGAAGACGTTAAAAAAGACTGATCTAACTGATAGCCCTTCCAACGATTTCCTATTATTCCAAAACTGAATATCTAAAAACGAATAATTTAAAGCACAATAATAATAATAATAAATATAATAAAGCAATAAAAACCTAAATATTTGATTATTGATGTTTAAAAAATTTGGACTTACCATTTTTAAAAGCTAAAAATTCAAAAACGCTGTGAAAAATTGAAACAAATACTGTTAGACCTAATAAATAAGGAGAAGTATCCAACAGAGCCTCTTTGAAAGGATCTCGATCTTCCTCATCTTCTTCATGATTGAATATATCTCCAAACATTTCTAAATTCGTCCATTTATTTCTAATGCCTTGAGACGAATACAATTGCCAACGAAACAGAGTGAGAGGTTGAAAAGTTATCATGAGGTCTAATTTACTATAAATTGAATAATTAATTAAATTTGCTATTTAAAAAATGTTGTGTATTAGAAATATCGATGCTAAAGACTTACTCTGTAGTGCTGTTGATCGGTTTATAATCCCTTATCATGTTCCAGTAATCATTCATATATAAAATAGGCTTATAACGTGTTTCATCTGGCAAGAACTCAATCACTGCAAAAATAAAAATTATTAAAAGGTAGTAAAAGTAGCACTACTACAAACTTTTTTTTAATTCAAAAAAAATAAATTTCAATTTAATTTGTGGCTTTAAAGAACTGTTTCTATATGAGAAAGACTTGATGTTTGAGTAAAAAAGGTAAAATCTTTTACATAAACTTACATTCATCTAAAGGACTAGGTACCATTCCTTTATACCATTTATTATGATCTGTGACAAGATTTACAGTTAAATTTGGGTGCCAATAGGAAATAATTTCTCCTTTTTGCTTTTCGGCTATACGAAGTTGCTCAGGTGTCAAAGCTGTTTCTCCTGTTAGAAGATTATGCGTTTTCAAATATTTTTGTCTTCTAAATTTATTTAACTGTTTGTAACCATAAATTGTTTCATCCCAGGAATATTTTTTTCCCTTTTCTGGATAAGGCAAATATCCATGTCTTGTAATATAAACATGAAGGTATATTGAACCATTATTTTTTAAAGACTGAAATAAAGCAAAAATTTTAATACAATTACAAATAATAATCAATAATACATTTAATTATATTCATTTAAAATTAATAATCAAAATTAAAATTTTCAATGTTATATGTAAGTTATAGTTTGAAACTGTTTTAACTGTAGTCAACAGTTAACATAATATATGTTTTATGTTTCTGCTACGAAAGCATAACCAATTGTCCTTATTGATTAACAATAGGAGGGTTTTGAAAAGTAAGCAATAAAACTGTGAATACTTTTCATTAAAAAAGATTTCAACCCTGATTA